TCGGGATACGGTATTGGTGCGGTGTTGGAACAGTGTCACGAGGACGGTTGGCATCCGGTTGAGTATTTCTCCCAAAAGGTGCCTCTCGTCAACACTCTCGACAACGCTAGGAAGAAAGAGCTAGTGCGTTCGTCACCGTTCTCAAACGGTGGTGCCACTTTCTTCTCGGCCGTCGGCGGTTCAAATGGAATACGGACAACAATCCGTTGACCTTTTATAAAACACAGGACACGGTTACTAGCACGATCGGTCGATGGATGTATTACATCAACCAGTTCGATTTCCACCCGTGTCGCATTCCCGGTCCCGCCAATCGAGCTGCGGACGCCCTCTCACGACGGCCCGACTTTTGTGCCATTGTGACCACGGCATTCGACCTCGATGACGATCTGCAGCAGCATTTCGTCAAAGGGTACAAGTCCGATCCGACTTACTCTACGCAGAGCTTTCATCGGAACACCCGCCGACTAGCCACTATCAGATTTCCAACGGGTTCTTTCTCCTTCACACAAGAGGAAAGGACTTGTTAGTTGTGCCCCAAGATTGCATCTTACGGACTCCTCTTCTCGGCGAATTCCACGACGCACGACTTTCGGCACACATTGGCGTGAACCGCACACTAGCACGCCTCCGCCAGCGTTTTCACTGGCCCCACGTCTTTCATGACGTCACGAGGTACATTGAGTCATGTGCAGTTTGCCACCGTAACAAGGGTCGATCTCGAGTCCCCTTCGGCGAACTGAAACCGTTGCCGATTCCTCGGGCACCACGCCTCTCCATTGCTATGGACGTAACAGACCCGTTTCCCCGCGATCGCCACGGCCATGACGGTATTCTCACGGTCGTTGACCGCTTCAGCAAGTATGCTCGCTTCCTTCCTTGCAAGTATCATGCTGCAGCACCTGAGCTTGCACGACTCTTGCACACCGGTTGGATTACCAACCAGGGTGTTCCGGAAGATATAGTGAGCGACCGAGATACTCGCTTCATGTCGGCCTTTTGGACTTCTCTCATGACTGAGTCCGGCACGACAATGAAGCCAAGCTCGGCTCGGCACCCGCAGACGGATGGTCAGACGGAGCAAGCGCACCAGACCGCTCAGATGATGTTGCGTATGCTTATCCGTCCCGACCAGAAAGATTGGGTTGACCGGCTTCCCGACATTGAGTTCGCCTACAACACTTCGGTGCACCCGGCGATCTGCGTCACACCATTCGAGCTACATCATGGTGGAGTGAAAGCACGGATCTTCGCTGATCTCCTTTTGCCACAGGCTGCCGACATAGACGTCCCTTGCTCTCCTGCTTCCGTCTGGAAGTACCGGGACTTGCTGATCAAAGCCCACGTAAATATGCAAAAGGCTCAGATCCGCATGCAGCAGCAGGCTAACCGACGTCGACTCCCATGTCCTTTCCGCGAGGGAGACCTTGTTTGGGTCCTCTACGAGGAATTTGTGCTCGAGCAGGATGTTTCGCGCAAACTCCTTCCGAAATGGTTCGGACCATGGGAAGTCACTTCTGCCGTTGGAGACGACCCCGCAGGTCCTTCCTTCGTGATCAACATTCCACTGCACCTGACAGTGCATCGGGTCTTCCACGCATCGAAGCTGGCCATCTACACGCCACCTTCAGCTGACGAGTTCCCCGGACGTCGATCACAGGATCCGCCTTCTATGGACGGACATGAGGAAGTTGACCGAGTCATCACGCACCGCAAGTATGGCAACAAGCCAAGGCAGTACAAAGTCACATTCAAGCAATGTGCGCCTGATGACACTCGGTGGATCTCCAGTACAGATTTGCAGACTTCTGCACCCCTCATACTCGCCGACTATGAGAAGCGACGCCTTGCTAGGGACGCAGCTCGTCCTGCCCGACCCACCCCGGTATCGGACAGAGAACTTCACCCTCGCAGGTAGCTCGGTCTTTTAAGAGGGGGAGTGTGTTACATCTTCGACGCACACGGGCCCTACCGGACCCGGCTTAGGGTCGGAGGGACACATCAGGGCCTAAAGGCCCGACCTTGGGATAGTACAGGCCCTCAGGGGCTGATCTTGGACCAGTACCCAACGGGCAGGCCCAAACAGCATTATCGTTTGGGCCTGGCGRCGCTCTTGAGGCTGCCGCCCGCCGGTTGGGGCTGAACCGTCCATCTGGAYGGTTCAGGGCATGGCCAGGCCTCGCAGCATTGAGGCCGGCCTCTGCCCCACCGGTATAAAGTACCGGTACAGCCTCACTTGGAGGCATCGACCTACCGRCACTATACCGGTACGGTATGGTCAGCGCCAGAGCGCTGTTTTGATGCGCTAAGTTTAGCGCAGGAGCGAGCAAGGAGCAGCAGCGGCAGCGCAGCATTAGAGCAGCAGCAGGGCGACTGAGCCAGCACGGCGGCCATGGCCGCCTGAGGTACCTGGGAGCCAGAGGACCTCTCCTCCCTCCCTCGTCAGCTCTCTCTCTCTCTCTCTCTCCTCCTCCTCCTCCTCCTTCTTCTTCTTCTTCTTCTTCTTCTTCTTATTCATCTTCTTCTTCTTCTTCTTCTTCTTCTTCTTCTTCTTCTTCTTCAGACTAGAGACTTATGCTAGTTGGACAGAGATCAGAGTTGGACTTCGGTGATATGAGACTGTGGTACTTACCAGATTGGAGACTTGGAGATCGTTGGGGTTGATACTTGGCGACATCACAGTTCAGACACCGGTTACATTTGGACTCTGTATCCCCGACATTGGTGACCTATGGTCCTCGACATTTTGATCTTGTTGGACGACATTTTGGACTACCATATCGGTGACCTATCAGATTCTACCTCGGTGACTTTCGGTGCTGTCTACCTCCCCCCACCTCTTCGTCTCTCCTCCCCCATTCATCTGTGTATGTATGTACGGGGCTGAGCATCTTCTATGTATGGCTCAGACCCCACCATCTCACGATTGAATGTGTGTGGAGTGATGCTATGTGAGTCAGTCTATGTGAGTCAGTCCGTTTATCAGACTTCCGTTGCATCTATACTCATCCTAC